AACGCGCAAATCTCAGCTAGACAAGGGAGTCTTACCGCCTGCGGGGATTGGAAGAAGCTGTCAGAGGGAGCTCAGCCTGCACCATGCAGCAGTGTCACGTTTCAAAGGGCAGTTCTTATAAGACTTCATATGTGGGGTCAGTGGGAAACCTGAGTTCTGAGCCAAGCTCTGCCCTTGCAACTTTAAACATCACTCTGACCGGTATTTTCAGACGTCCAGCCCCTGCCTGAACTCTGCCCGTATACCTGTAATTTTCTTTTTTTCTTTTCTGGAAGAAAATAACTTTATTCTAATCACTTCACAACAGCTGGTTTAAGGAGGGCACACCAACATCTGCCCCCCATCCTTTACCATCTCAGTGAATTTCTGCACCCTAAGAACACCCACTTCCAGTACAATTCTGAAGAGAGGAAGCTATTAATAACAGGAGAGGTTTAACTGATGGTTTTACCCTTTATACTTTCATTATCAATTACATTTTCATGCTAAATTAACTTGGTCTTGAAAGGCAATTTTCCTTTTCCTCAATTTGTACTTCTTGATTAGGATAATCCATTTGCAAGTTTGCATTGTTTCAGCACCTCATTGAATCCCTCACAGAGCTTTATGTCAGTCTGGCTCTGGGTATATTCCAAAAACTGTTTCATCTCATAGAAGCAAGGGCCAACCTTCTGCTACTGTGCCGGCTGGCTTCCAGGAGGCTCCTGGTAAGTGATGTCGGGGTTTGAGGGCTCAGCATTACGTCCTCCACTGAAGCCTTCAGTGATGGCAGGACCCCGAGTGTGCCCAACTGCAGAGCCCACAGCCACACCAGCTGCAGTAGTTGCCTTTGGGGCCATGAGACCAGGCTGCCGGGGTGCAGCAGCAGATGAGGCAACTGCAGATGGTGGGGCTGCTGCTGGTGGCTGAGCTGCTGGTGCTGGCCTGGGTGCAGTTCTCATCTGAGGTGCCCGGCTGGCCAGAGGGGCCATGCAGGAGGTGTGGCTTTGGCTTCCACGCGGCATTGCAAGTGTGCGGAGGGTAAGTGTCTAGAACTGAGAAAATCTGGGAAGATCCCAGAAGCTTCTACCAAGGACAGCCGAAGTTTGGAGGTCGGTCTGGCCTGAGTGTGTGACCAATCAGCACACAGGCACAGAACTTCCGTTCCAAACCTGTAATTTTCTAAGGACATTTACTTTACTGTGACAGTTCTTTTCCATCCTGAGCCCAAGTGCATCAACACATGCTCACCAATCCTCCTCCTCCTGCCCTCAGTAGTCTGAACTGAGTCCAGTCAGTACCTTCTTCTCATATAACCAATCTTCAACTCTTATTTTTTAAACAATGAATTTTATTTAAACCAATATATCCAAAATATCAGCCTCTCAACCAGTAATCAATATTTAAAAATTATAATTAGATATTTCACATTCCCGTTTCTGACAAGGTCTTCAAAATCTGGTAAACAACCACCATGTACTGCCAGCCCCATCTTCCCTCGGCGCCCCCCACATGGCGTCCTCTGAATCCCCCCACATTCTCCGGTCACTTTCTCATGGGCAAGT